TGTGTGTGTGTGTGTGTGTGTGTGTGTGTGTGCCAGGTACTGACCTGCGAAAGGTGGCGCCTTGATGTAGGTACGAATGTGCTGAAGACGAAGCTGGAGCGATGGCGTCGCAGGTAAATCTCAGGTAAGTCCCCTGGCCTCCGCCACAGTCTCTCTCGTCTCCCTGCTCTACTCTAAGTCCTATCAGTGCCCAGCGCTGGAAGGGTACTACTACACTGCTGTCATCCGAAGAGAGCCTATACTCAATCCTTTACTCAATGCCAGACTGAGGCTGGACCCAGCTATATATAGCGCTGGGTCGGCCTCAACGGCTGAGTCTGGCGCCCAAACTGAGGCTGGGCCTCGAAAGTTTGGCGCCCAAACTGAGGCCGAGCCTCAACTGCCCAAGTGCCTACTGAAATGGCACAGCCTCTGGATCAGGGCCTGGCGCCCAAAATGTGCGCCAGGGCCTGAATCCGAAACGAGGCCTTCAGGGCCTCTAACTGGTACCGGTCGGCCTAACCTAACCGACAGACCCTACGGGCCCTAATGCGGGCCGAAACGACACAGACCTAACTCTACTAACCCCTATCCTACCTGGTCAGGCCCTGCTGTGTCCGTGTGGAGCTGAGTATGCCACCCCCCCCCACCTCCTTGAAAGACCGAGCTTACCTGCGAGGGCGAAGCTGTCTGTTGGAGGGAGGGACAAAAGTTCGGGTGGGAGGGGCAGGCTTTGCAGCTTCCATGGCTAGTCGTTTCTTCTCATGTTCGGCGTAGATAAGTGGTGCGGAGGCTTGCAAGGCTGCTCGTGAAATCCATCTCGTGTCGTCGCGGCCGCACCACTTGAATGGGACCTTGTGCTGCATTGGCTTGTTGCCGTGCTTGCGATGCGTGATGATGCGATCGACTTCCTGATGACCATCCATAGAAGGAGGGTCCTGCGATTGTCGGCCCGGGAAGTCTTCTCGCTTGGCTGGTGTATATGTAGTGTTGCATACCCTAACGGTGCAGACCAGACCAAGAGCTGACCTTTCTCACATGATACAAGATAGCACAACGGAAGGCTTAGATACCGATGATCCGATCAATCAAGCTGCCATGCAGACCAAACATGCATCATCATCATTCCATGGTGTGAAGGGGGCTGACGCTCACACGGGAAGAATGCGTCAGTCCCCAATCATGCACAGACGAAGAAGAGGGGGATTAGACGAAGGGGAGGGGGAAGATGGAAATGTCGTCAACACCAAGTCTT